CTTTTTTGTCTCCCAACTCCATCATGTTGTCTTTTTTTTCCTATCTGTTCTGTCTCACTATCTTTTTCACTTCCCACTCTCAAAACACTCGTGTGACTTCTTTAACCTTTTTTTGAGTTTGATAATGCAAAATTGATTCTCCATTTTTCACTTAAGAAAAATGATTTATATTCTTTTGATCCAAATGGGTAATTTGTTCTTCATATGCACCGTTGGAAAATTTATGATTGTATCTTCTTCTGCTATCCATCTGCATATCATAATCACCAACATATTTTCAAATAAGTCACTACATCGTTTTAAGAGTTGAGTCCAACTTGTCAAAAAGAGACTAGACTTATTTGGTCCTAACGTACCATTTTGTCTAAAGTATAGAGCACTTACCACACCCTTTTTCCTTCAAATCTTTTAAAAAGTACAACAAATATCAATAATTTTGTATCAATGTAATTGATTAGTTACCTGAAGCGAGTGACAAGGTGGTGAAGAAAGATTGAAGCTTCAAGACGAGCCAAATCGAGACCAGGGCACAATCTCTGACCACCTCCAAAAGGACTGAAACTACTCGTGTTCATGTCCCTTTCCTATTGTATAAATGTATATCTAGTTAAATATATGATTCATATTAAGTACTATAAGATTATATGTTAAATATATTTTGGTAATTTTACGTACTTGCCATCTCCAGGGATTAAATTTGTAGGGAGAGTCGTAGTAAAGTTTATCAAGATGGACTGATCTGAGATAGGCCAAGAAGCACCATCCTTTTGGTATCACATATCCTTTTATTTCAACATCTTTCATCGCCTTTCTCATCACTCCAATTATAACATTTCCCATTCTCAGTGTCTCTGTAATGACCTGATTATAATTAAAAAGGTAATTAATCACCGTTTAACAAGAGAACTATTCATATAATGAACTAATTCCATGGAAAAGAAGAATATATAAATACCTTTTGTGTAAAAGGTAACGACAAATAGTCATTCCAATATAGTGGCTCTCCTGTCAATTCCTTCAAACTTTTCAGCTTCATGTTTTCTTCCTGATAGAAAAGAATTTTATAAAGTAAAATTAGCTTATAGATTTTAGTGGCAATCATATAGCCACGGCCCACGAGTTAATATCAGCTTATCACTAATTTATTTGAATGACTGATTTTGATTTTTCTATTGTGAAAGAGAGAAAAGCCTATCATTATATCATAAACTTCTTCTTCTTCTATGTCTATAAGATTTTATATAAATTTCATACTAACTACCGAAATTTATAGTCATCTATAATAATGGCATGAAAGCATATAATAAAAATAAATATTTAGCTACCAGTTGACCACTAAACTATTATCACTTGATTATGGTTTAAGGTTAATTACCGTTAGGAGATTGAGGGCAGCGGGAGAATCAGAGAGGAATTTGACGGCGAGGGTGATGAGGACGGGGACAGAATCGTGGCCAGGGATCATCATGTCAATCATATTGTTAGCAATCAAATTGTGAGTTAAATATTCACTTGAGTCCTTAAGCAACACATCCACAACATCCTTAGCAATCACAGTACCATCTTCTTCTTTGTTCTTTGCACTCCTAATTTTGCCTTCTATGATTCTTTCAACTTGCTTCACCATATTCTTCTTAGCTTGGAGAGATCTATGAAGTTGGGTTCCAGGGAAGTTAATTGGTAATGACATGAGTCCTGATATGAAATTTTCAAACTCTTTCTTTAACTCTTCTAACTCTTCTCCTTTCTCTACACTTATCAATGCCTTGGCAAGTACTTTGAATGCAACCTACCAATTAAAAAAAAACAAATTATTACATTTAAAAAAAAAAAAACTAAAAGGGTAATAATTAGTTGTTAAACAAATTAGAAAGAGAAACTTGTAATCATTTTATCAAATGTAATAATTGTAACCATGTTCTTTACAATAAATTAATATTTCCATGGTAACATGATTATGATTGTCCTTTTAATTTCTTAATCAATGCATTAAGTCATTAACTCATACTCCCTCCGTTTTCGAATAGTTGTCGTTTTAACTATGTGCACATAAATTAAGAAACTATTAATGTTGTTAGTTTTTCAATATAAAAATATCATTAATTATCTACCTAAACATAATTTAACCAATAGTAAATCAAGTTGCATAATAAAAATAAATATAAAAAATTAAAAAAGTAATAAATTTTGCATCGAAAACTGAAAACGACAACTAATTAAAAACAAAAAAATTTCCCTAACGACAACTATTCGAAAACGGAGGGAGTATATATAATTAAGTGGAGTATTTAGAACTTTTGTATGAAAATATTAAATTAAGGGATAAGTGTCCTGACAGTCTTGGAGACGTCTTGGAGGAGAACTGGTTGGTCCTCGGACCATAGATCCATGGATTCAGACAAAAACCTGTGCATGTCTCTAACGATTTGAGCTTTGAGAAGTGGTGACTTTAAGAAAGAACCGACTAGTCCATGGAACCTTCTATGTAAACTCCCGTTGATCAGAAGTATCGACGATTTTCCCATTAGCTCCCTCACCGTTTTCGGGTAAAACGGCACGAAAGCCGTCGAGTCGCTCTGTAAAACGGCTCTGTTCACTTCAGCATCCGTCGATACGATCGTCGCCGTTCCAAATATATGCGACTTAAAGACTCTCCCATACCTTCACATACATAAACACGTATATATATATATAATTTTCAGATTAAAGAACACGTATAGAGAGAGGGATAAGAGTTGTTACATGACTCGTCGCTTGTCCATGAAACTCTCAGGATGGTCTGAGTAAGCAGAAGAGACGAACTCGATGGTTTCACCGATGACAGGCCATCCCAAGCTTCCTTGTGGAAAACTTGGTCCGGGAATGTGAGAAATAACCTGATACTCTTTAAGTATTATCGTAGCTGGGGATGATCTGAGAACGTTGATCTTGTAGAAGATGACGATGATGA